AGCCATTGTAAAACTTAGTAGTAAACAAATAATACTCAATAAATTAGATATGAATTAATAATTATAACTAATAAATCTTCAAGTTACACAATTTTGATTCATTTCAACTTGTTCTTTAATGTTGGTGTCAATAAAACCAAAATTTCCACTAATTCTTTTTCACATATCTATACTTGCCAACCTTCAGAATAGAGAATAGCGGGGACATTGATAGACAAACACTGATTTAAAAAAATGCTGACAACATAAAAAGCAAAATTCTTTATTAACATTGATATTGCACAGTGTTTATATTAAATATCTTTAATAAATAAAATTTAATGTCATCTCTACATATGTTATATAATACTGTTGCCCTAAACATTGGTCAAGAGTATGGCAGTTTTTTTAAATTGTGATGTTAAAGAGTACAAAGCTAACTATTTTACAAGACACATTATAAATTCACACCCAGATTTATTATATTTTTCATCTTGATGTGTCACGAGTCTTGATATTGCATGATGAGTACCTCCTGTTGTGTCTTTGTGCAATGTTTTGCTCTCTTAATTTCCTTTGTTATGGTACTATGTACTCATGACAGCTACTATCAGTTAGTTTATTGACTTTCACTGCAATTATTAAGAACAATTTGCTGGTTGTAGTGTCTGTCTTTTTCTTACCATAATGAATATCTTTTCCTTTTGCCACACAGCAATGCAGAGGAGTAATATCTCAAAAAAACCATCTAGTTTTTTTCTTGAGAAAGTTAAGTTCATAGAATACAGTTTGTATATTCTCAAGTGATGAATCAGATGTTTCTTCCTTTTATGCGTGGAGAAACTGTAGTGCTGCTCAATAATTTGTTATAAAAGTAACTCATTTTCTCATTTCACAGTAAAAGTAACTATTTCTCATTTCTTTTTGCTGATGAGTCAGCCATAATTGATTTAACCAACAACATGATAGCACTAAAGTTGCCAGACTTAAGGATGCAATTCATCTTATCTGCCATTTAAAATGATCACATTTGAGCAACCAAGCCAAATTAATGGGCTAGAAGCGACTATAATACAGGTATACCTCGCCTTACGTCGGTAATTGGTTCCAGGAAAACGACTTAAGTCGAAAAACGACGTAAGTCGAATTTACTTGTCTCCGAATCTACTTGTCACTAGGAAAAACCATAAATTACTATTCCCAGTTCTGTATTTTATTTATTAATGCATTTTCAATAATATATGGTTAATAAGAATCTATTTTAAGCTCACAAACAAATAAATTTTAGTTTTTAATAGAGTACAGAAAAAAGTAATCTAAATTTACGAATGCATGTACTGTACTGTAAATACAGTACATACTGTAAATGTATATATTTTAATATGATTTTATGTGCTTTAAACACTTTTCTAGTGATATTACAACTTCAATATTTGTGGCGGACGGACGTAAAGTCGAATAAAATGACTTAAACTTGANTAATAATAATAATAATTTAAGATAATTTGGTATTAGAGTTAGGTGTTAGGCACCATCTCATGCTAAATTTAATAATTATAATTTTAATTAAAGTTCTAAATTTATTTAAATTATTTAATCAAAATTATAATTATTAAATTTAGCATGAGATGGTGCCTAACACCTAACTCTAATACCAAATTATCTTAAATTATTATTATTATTATTATAGCCGCTTCTAGTCCATTAATTTGGCTTTGGTTGCTTTAATGTTTATCAGGTTAGCTGTTTGTTTAATTATCACATTTGAGCTAAAATTTGCATACAAATTGTTCATAATAAAATACATATAATGTCTTTGGCATATATATTGGTATTAAGACTTGTTAAATGAAGTGTTTATGTGATAATATCAAATTCTTTAAAATTCCCGATAAAAAAGAAAAGTGGCCCATCTACTGATGGATCATACAAAATGCTGTTAATCAGTGCCAAATGATGACGGTTGGAAACTATGCTTATCCCAATTAATGATATAGGTGGATTATTATTACTAATCCCAAAGTGATTACATTAAGAAGATTGTACTGTATTTCGAAAAAGAAAAGGGTAAACAAGGTTTTCTAATTTGAATTAGCTATATTGAATCAAGAAAGAAATAGAATAGTTTCTCATAATACAAAATAAGAAGGAAAGATTCAAAATGGATAGAATTACAGTTCTGAATGAGATGGTTGGGACAATATCACAGCTGTAGACCATGTCCACAGGAGTAAAAAATCAAAAGGAACTTATGAATGTGTCCCTTCACAAGATATAGCATCACCAAAATCAGTCTACATGGACGTTTGAAGACTCTCAAAAACGAGGTAAAATTTAAATGTAAAAATCTGAAACTATTTCTGAAAACAATGCTCAAACTAAACTGTTTTCCACTTTACTAGAGATGGCTAAAAGCTCATAAAACAAGAAAAATGCCATTGCATAGGCTTTTTTTATTTTTAACTCTTTCTGCCTTGTGGGCACTAATTTTAGCAATCCCATTTTGGGTTCAGCCAGGCCCACAATGGGGTGGCCGGGTGGCAAGGGACAGGGTTGAGATATCCGGTCAAACCATCCCCAAAAAATTCCTTTTTTGATCTGCCAGGATCAAATCCGAGCCTTCTGTCAATTTCCACACACGAGGAACACGGAAGTGAAATTCAGCAAAAATACAAGAAAAATTTATTGAGAAATGAGTGCTTTGTACAGGGACAATTGCCTATAGAGAACTTGCATGAATGTCATCTCATGTGACTAAATCATCACTCTGCTTCCTGTGCTATATTTGTGCCATGCTGTTTGTGGAGGTGTATAAAGTTTGGCTTGTGTCTGAATGTTTATCACTTGTAGAAGATGGCAAAATGCTTCTTCTAAATGTTGATCGTTCTTTAAGTGTTTTTTTTTTATTAGTACAAAATCTTAAACTATTTTCAATATAAATCTGATTATTTCTCACTGGCAAGAATATTTTCATTTTGGAAAAAAGTACAACTTCTTTTGTTAGTATTCATATGTTAAAGTTTGTTAAATTATTTTTTACCTGAAATTTGTTTTGTTCAAACCAATACAAAGTTTAGGTTAGAATCAGCATGGTTAGAATCACCTATGCAATTCGGCTTGACCATCCGGCCAAATTGCATAGGCTCGACAGAGCAGGCAATACGCTCCGTTAAGCCCATCTTGTGTTTAACAAGTTGATTTGGGGCTATATCTACAGTGACCATATTTTTTTGGGGAAAATAAAGGACATATCGAAGAAAATCAAAAAATACCTTATAAAATTCATAAGTTTATAACATTTATTACGAAAATAGTAGCATACAACAATGCATACATTAAAATTTTAAACAATCTGAATTATTACACATACACACATTGTAAAAATTTAAATAACATTAATTTTGATACTTTTCAGTAGAATTAATTTTTTTTTAGCGCCGTTTCACGCTTTAAAGTCATAAAATTCCATACAGTTCATTTGAAAGTTGTATTTGATGGAAATACATGCTTCTAATGTGCTTACTTTTAAATCAGTTTTTTCATTCGTCCACATATTATTCACCAATGAAAATATTCGTTCAACGGGGGCATTAGATCCAGGGAGACAAAGAAAATTCTACGATTTTACAAATGTTTTTGAAAACAATTTCTTTTGCTGTAAAATGTTCAAAAATCTCAATCCACCTTTGATGGCAGGGCTGGTTATTCTGTCACCATTCGTCGATCTTTTCGTTTGTGACATATTTTTTTACACATGAAACTTCATCAAATAATTCACCGTCGAGTATATTTACGGACCAATGATTCGAAATAAAGATATAGCTTTCCTCTACTTTCGCCCACAAAGGGATTTCGCATAATGTGACCCATTCAAACACCTCTATTTCAATAAAAAACATGTCCCAATTATTTAGATAATCTATGCACGTTTGATAAAATGTGTACACAGCATCATTGAATTTTTTGGCTTGTATATTTTCTGATTTTTCTAATGCTAAAACCACTTTTCTAATAACAATAGGAAGAAACCCCTCATTTTTTCTTTCAACTAACTTCAGCTTTAATTAACAAGTGTATCATCCATCAACTAGAGAGTTAAAAAACTATCACAAAAATCCCCATAAGAGTGTCCACCCCCTGGTACTGTCAGTGGGCCGTTTGGTTGGCGACACACTGCACTACTGCGCTCTATGTAGCAATGCAACACTGGTCGTGATGGCGTATACAAAACTAACTTGTTCAATATATTATTAAAAAAAATTTTTTTAAACTTTGCGTCAACTTTACAAAATAAAGGACAAAATGCCTATTTTAGAAAATAAATAAAGTTAAAGGACAGAGCAGTGAAATAAAGGACTGTCCTCTTAAATAAAGGACGTATGGTCACTGTAGCTATATCTCACAAAGGATCACACATAGATTAATTCCTTTGACTTTTTTTTACTCCTACAGGAACGGTCTGCAACTTTGATAAGGTCCCAACATTCTCATTCAGAGCTGCAATTTGACTTCAAAATCGAGATAAAAAAGATTAACTGGTTATTCATAATAAACAATAAAAACCTCTACTAGATACACTTTTTAAAATGAAAAATTAAACATTTTCAGCTATTCTTAAAGCATAATCATAAATGTTAGTTTAAGTTGGCCAGTTAATTATTATTGTAATTTATATTAAAGTAGGTGAAATATTTTAATCATCTATAAAACAGTAACAAAATACCATGTAAACTTTATAAGTAAAATGTATTTTAAGCAGTTTTATAATAAAAAATGACTAAAGTTTCATTCTGGTTGCTTGTAACATAATGTAAGTCCCATTACATAACATTTAGTGTAGAAACAGCAATTTAAATCACATTAAATTCAAACTTTTCTTTTGTTTAATTTAATTTCTGCCACTAATTGAAAGTAAATATGAAAAATTGATTAAGTATCATCTTTTAAGTCAGTTTAAGGCTGTGAACATTGAATAAGACAATAAAATATTTATTGATTGTAAGTAAAATCTGTAAACAGACCTTTGTTGTGACTTCTTCTGGAATGAATTCGCTCGGAGGTTCGCCATTAGTATCCTCGTTTAAGCGTTCGTTAATTCTTTCTAGTTCTGCCTTTTTCTCTTCGTTTGAATCGCCGTATAGCCAAGCATCATCGTCATCAACTAGCGAAGCCATTTTGTACGGCTTATTCAGTTTTGGCGTCTAGAAGGGCGACTGTAACACTCCCTAGTGGAAATAATACGATGTAAAAATGTAAAATAAATATTATATTTATGTTTTAACTTACTTGAAAGTGTTAATAATGTTTAGTTTTTAAGTAGTTTTTATTTTTTTCGTAATTAATAAATTATGCAAAATAAATAGATATATATTAACAATAATTACATTGTTTATTTATTCGTATTGAAATTAAGTGTTTTTTTAACACTTTCCGCCGTGTTTTTTTTTACTCTTTCCGCCCTGTGGGCACTAGGAGGGCCTCTTATAGCAGGCGCATTATGGGTTCGGCCAGGCCCACAATGAGCGACCGGGTGATGAGGGACGGGACCCGACATATCCGAACGGACCAACCCCCGAAAGATTGACCCGTCCGGATTCGATCCCGGATCCCCCAGAGCGGTGGGCTACCACCTTGACTGCTCGGCCATCCGGCCTCTTGAAATTAAGGATTAACCCTTATTTCAATAGGTTTCTGTTTATTTACCTCTTAATTTCTGATGTTAACCCTTAATTTGTGTTGATTCACATAATGTCAAACAAATAAAGATAGAATATTATTATCATGAAATAATAATCAATATAACGGAAATAATAATTTTCCCGTGATTTGAGCCGATCCCGAATATATAATTAATTTATGAACAACATACGTGATCACGTTCCATAAAACTCTTTAATTAATTAACAACAATTTCATTCGCAAACCACGCTGATTCTAACCTAAACTTTGTATCGGTTTGAACAAAACAAACTTCAGGTAAAAAATAATTTAACAAACTTTAACGTATGAATACTAACAAAAGAAGTTATACTTTTTTCCAAAACGAAAATATTCTTGTCAGTGAGAAATAAACAGATTTATATTAAAAATAGTTTAACATTTTATAGTAATAATAAAAAAAAAACACTTAAAGAACGATCAGCATTTACACTTTACCAGTGGCGTACCGTAGTGGGGGCGGCAGGGGCGGCCCGCCCCGGGCGGCACTTTTTAAAGGGCGGCAAAATTTCACAATAAATAATAATAATAGCTTGTAAAAATTTGAAACATCCTAATCTATACTTGCATCGCGCCTACGATAGTGCTATCGTCCGGACAGTCTGGGAATCGGCTCGCCGTCTGGGTGAACTAGTAATTTTTTCATCCGAGGAAATCCTGCAAAACCTGTTGACCATTTTTTTTTTGCTTGTACGATTCATTCGCGTTCATATACACCACTAATATCCAATAGAACTATTTTAAACAGGTCGCTGCACTACCACCGAATTTTTCATCGCATGTTCTGTGACAAAACTGTATTTTGGGTCTTTTAAATTGAAATACCTAAAAAGGGGGCGAAATTTTCCTCCGCCCCGGGCGGCTGACACCCACGGTACGCCACTGCACTTTACATAGCGTACTACAATAATAATAATGATTGCATCTTTATGCAAATTTTCTGAAATCGTTTCTAAAATTTTAATGTATTCGTTGCAACAGCAAAAGTTCGTCGTTTAACGAATAACGAAAGAAACAAGACATTCAATTGGCTTATCGTCGTCGGTTCCATTCGTCTCGATCTTAAGATAATGCAAAAAATATTCAGTTTTCAGTGAGTTACGAAATTGAAATGCCCAAAACGATAAACGATGTTCGATGGAGAAAGCAGCAAAATGAAACGATTAGTAGAGAAAGTGTATGCACTCTGCTACTGGAGTCCGTTAGTCCGGAGGTCTGATTGTTTTATTTTTGCAGCCATGGTAGATCACGGTGTTACTTTCTTTTATCACCTACTTATACATGTGGTAAAAATATGCATTGCAATCATTTCAAACTTCCAATTTTCAAATTTTAGATAAAAACAAACCGCAATTTTGTGCTTTCTACAATGCTATTTATGGGATGATGACCGTGTGTGCCTGTTCGCGCACAGGTGTGTTTATAAACCTACTAAACTCTTTCACACTAAATCTGATATTTAAATTATTTTTCAGTTACATTTCGATTCGATGAACTTTGTGTTCTGTTCGAAAGTGAAATATTTACGTAAGCGTTTCCCGAGTTCAATTCATTGGTACTCGGAAAAGTACACCAACCGCGTACAGATCACTTTTTTTCTAATGGCGTTGCATCGTTTCAGTTCGAACGCAAAGCTGTCTACTCGGAATTATAAAATATAGGCTACTATCACAACGATTATCTAGACAGTTCTATTTTAAACTACAAACCCTTTCTTCGCTTTGACAATTCGGTGTTGCTGGGAATGGTGAACGGTCTCCATTTCGTTTTCAACTAATCGAAAATATTCCGTGAGATTTCTGAAATAATGAAATCAGGTTCGAGTATTTTAAATCCATGCTAACTCTAACGCACATGACCGAGCGAAAAGTAATTAAAACAATTATTAAACTTTAAATCTGAATGAAATTTTTTATACGTACTCTTAACGACACTGCGGTAAAATTAAAATTTTAGTGTTAATCACTAAAATTTTAATTTTCTTTCGTATCACGTTCATTACTCTTTGCGATGATTTAAGTTTCATAACGAACAAATAGAATAAGAAGCATCGATTAGAAAACGTTGTGTTATCGCTGGTAAGAATTGTCTCGATTTTAATAAGAAATAACAGTATCCACTTACTACAGCGTTTCCGGATTGAAATCCGCGAAAAGACAAAGTTAGAGGAGAGAAAAACAAAATTACAACTTTAGCAGAGAGTGGTTTCGATCCACCGACCTCTGGGTTATGGGCCCAGCACGCTCCCACTGCGCCACTCTGCTTCTACCAAACATAAGAGGCTGTCGGCTTTTTATACTTTCTAAATAAAGTAGATTGCCATTGATTGAACAGTATAAATAATATCTGATGATAAATATCTATGCAAGTTTACACAATGAAATGACGAAACTATCAACAGCTCCAACTAGTATAACTCGGTATTTCTAATTTCAACTTTTATACTTCGATGAAAAACACGTCATTTACCATAACCAGTTTCTCTCTCAACACTCCGTCTAACTGAAGCATTTATTTTACTACGAATGTTTGTTTTCATCTAAGAAGGATTTACGAAAAGTTCAAGTGTAACTGTAAATAGAAATTATTTTAATTCCTTAATTTTTGCCATTTACTTAATTTAATTAAACAAAATGTTTAAAGCTTTTTAAAATAAACAGGCAAGAAATCTTTTAATATGACCTTTCCTTTAAATTATATCTGTAATGATGGAAAACTCAATTTGTATAATTTCGATTATTTTTTAAAGTTTCAATACATTATTTCGTATTTCCTGAAGATGACTTAAATTTATGCAGAAAATTATTTGCTTAAATGCACACATTCTTTTCAATAACAAGAAAGCGTTGATAAGTTTTCAGAAAATAGAGAATGTGTGTTATCAGATATACCGCTCGCTGGTAAGCCAAGTTCGTTTTGTCGCGGAAACGATTCGAATAGTTGGATTAAAAAAATATGGAACGCTTCACGATTTTGCGTGTCATCCTTGCGCAGGGGCCATGCTAATCTTCTCTGTATCGTTCCAATTTTAGAATATGTACGACCGAAGTTGTACACTCGGTATTACCGGATCGGCCGTATATATACCAACAACTTCAGCTCACGCGTCTTCACGGGTGTGTTTACGTTTATCGTCAGACAGCACCTTATAGACTTAACTATAGCGGTTCGTTTAAAATACGAACGATTGATTTTGGAAATTTCTTGAAATTCTCTCAGATAAGTTATTGACCGACGATGGATAGTTGCATTCTTTACATCCTGCGATAGCTACACCCTTCGACCTGAGTGTTATACCTGCCAAGATCAGTCGTTTTTCGGCCTGCTTTAATTTGACCTTAATAATTATATTATACATTACACTTCCGTTCTTTGGAATCACGAGCTATTGATACAATCATCAGAAGTCGAACGCTTGTTTAAATTTTATACTACTGTAGCTCTCGGCAATTGTACTTGATAATTGCAATATCATTTCGCGGCATTGTCAGATAGTAAACGATGGTGAAGCACAAATTTCAATATTTGTGTTACGTGGTATTTTGGTTTCACGCTGACGGGTTATTTTTCGCAGCTGCGATGTTCTGTTTTATAGCAAAAGGTGCTTAAATATGAAAGAATCTGATTTACGATATAAATTACAGCGATTTCTTGCTATTGTTATAATAATTTTTGAACTCATCCACATTGAATTTATTTAGTTTTATCATTTATGCTTGGTTTTTTTATAAATAGAAATAATTGTCATATTTTATTGATTAACGCGACCGACCTATTCTACAAATTCGGTTTTTAAATTGCTAAAATTGAAGTACTTAAATTTCGATTTATAATATACATTTCTTATTGCTGATTCCGATAGGGTTCTTATAATATAATAAACTTTAAGGTATCAAAAATGTAGATATGTCAATTGGACGTAAGTCTAGTAAAATGTCTTTTCTATCCGCTTTTACTTTGTCCATAACCAATATTTTTTTTAAAAATAATAATTAATTAACCGTTATTATGAGATAAAATGTTGCATAACTCTGTGTAACTTACGCAGAAGTTATAAAAAGATTGAATAGGTTTGACCAGATTAGAATTAGCTGAGGAGAAAAGTTAATAATATTTCAGAACGTAAAAATTTAATGCTGATTTAATTTAATATCTGTCAAAGCATCGAGATATTGTATTATTATAACTGACTCTCTAAGCATATTTACACTTTCCTTAAAGAGTAAGTATACAGTATTGAAAATTTTTTTTACCTTAGTAAGGAACATTTATTCATTTTATAAATCAATATATTATTCACCTATTCTTAATATATCCCCGGTTCCTCACATATGTTATATATTTGATTATCTTTTTTTGTCCTTTGGCACTAACAGGATTTTTTACGGGGAAACGGGGGCCGACATACCTGGCACTGACCACTTAAGAAAATATCCTGTGTAAATGCTAGTGAAAATTCGATAATGAACTTTGTGTTCTGTTCGAAAGTGAAATATTTACGTAAGCGTTTCCCGAGTTCAATTCATTGGTACTCGGAAAAGTACACCAACCGCGTACAGATCACTTTTTTTCTAATGGCGTTGCATCGTTTCAGTTCGAACGCAAAGCTGTCTACTCGGAATTATAAAATATAGGCTACTATCACAACGATTATCTAGACAGTTCTATTTTAAACTACAAACCCTTTCTTCGCTTTGACAATTCGGTGTTGCTGGGAATGGTGAACGGTCTCCATTTCGTTTTCAACTAATCGAAAATATTCCGTGAGATTTCTGAAATAATGAAATCAGGTTCGAGTATTTTAAATCCATGCTAACTCTAACGCACATGACCGAGCGAAAAGTAATTAAAACAATTATTAAACTTTAAATCTGAATGAAATTTTTTATACGTACTCTTAACGACACTGCGGTAAAATTAAAATTTTAGTGTTAATCACTAAAATTTTAATTTTCTTTCGTATCACGTTCATTACTCTTTGCGATGATTTAAGTTTCATAACGAACAAATAGAATAAGAAGCATCGATTAGAAAACGTTGTGTTATCGCTGGTAAGAATTGTCTCGATTTTAATAAGAAATAACAGTATCCACTTACTACAGCGTTTCCGGATTGAAATCCGCGAAAAGACAAAGTTAGAGGAGAGAAAAACAAAATTACAACTTTAGCAGAGAGTGGTTTCGATCCANAAATAATGCACCGAACTTGGGTGACGAAATTATGACAATATCAGGAATGGTTATGTACTGTACATAAGGAAAATGAAAACATAGATACAATGTATATTATATATGATACTTCCGATTGGGATGTTAAGACTATTCCAGAAGTGGTTAGTGACCGACAAGACAATTCTGGATTTTATAACATATTTCTAATTTACCGTGCAACAACCATTTGGTTGACATTAAAATTAAAGATATACAACTTAGGATGACACCACATTTACCAGAAACTGTACATTGATTGCAGAGCATTAACGACATAAACCACTAATAAAGAGGTACAAAAAATTATATGCTTGCCGGAATCAACAGTTTGTTCACATTACACACACCGTTTAGTAACAATTATAAAATAAATGTAACCAGGTCGCTTCCCGTTTAACACTTAGTTCACAGCTGAAGCCTTAGTTTCCATCATCGTTTTTGTTATCTTGAACGTCCCTTGGAGGGAAAAGCGCCTTGGTTTCGTTGATGAATTTCTCAAGAGCCTTGTAAATGTTTTTATTGTCTATCAGGGTGCACAGTGAACAAGGCCAATTGAATCCTTCGTATAGCACGCACATAATGAGATTTGTCCTTTCTGTGTTGAAGAGAGCACAGTCAAATAGGAAGTGATTTGTGTCCTGTCGAGAGACGTTGTCACAGTAGCACTCTTCGGAGTCACGAATATGGAATCTCTTAAGATAGGCATTAAAATTGCCATGACCAGTTAAGATCTGACTCATGGCAAAGGATGAGGTGAAGTTTCTCCATTCAAGGCGATGAACAATATTTGGTATGAAACTGTGGGTTTGTCTACCGGTGGTGCAACTGTCCCATTCTTCCTGCCACTGTTTTACTGAACGTTGGAAGTTCCAATTCTTTATCGTTGATAATGGGATTCTCGTATAGGTGTGTATAAGTTGAGAGTTGGCTGCCTTTTTCGCAAGAGCATCAACAGCTTCATTTTCGGATATACCGGAATGTCCGCGCACCCAGCTGAACGAAATGTTATGGTTATGGGTGTTAGTCGTGATAAGTTTGTGAATTTTAAGGATATTTCTCTTTTTGTTCTTGAGACTGTAAATTGCTATGTGACTATGTGTAAAATTGCTATTGAGGCTGTGGTGCTGTCTGTATAAATTGTTATTGTCTTGTTCGGAGAAAACCAATCAGAGTAGACATGTTCAATAGCTTTGGCTATGGCCAGAATTTCCGCCGGTGGTACCGAACAATGAGGACCTAGTTTATAGGCCGATCTGTGAGACGAACCATTTCGGTGGCTATATAAAATGAAAGCACAGCCCACGTTGTTTCCTTGCTTCAATTTATACAGACGCATCTGTATAAATTGAGATATCATTGTTTTGGTCTTGAAGCGATGCTATCTAGTTGGGGATAGTCCTGTTCCACATTTAAGTCGACATTTGTTTGTTCTATACCAAACTTAGAAATATCTTCTTTGATCTGGTCGGGAAAATCTGCGATAATATTTTTGTTGTTGTCGCTCAGGGGATTTTCATTATCAAAAAGGTTACTAAATTTCCAGTTAGTAGCTACCATCCCGGCCTTGATGTGAATGGGTATCAATCCTACTAGGACAATAACGCAGAGGTGGATGCGGTGCGATAGGCCCTGCAAATTCTAAGGACTGCCACCCTTTGAGCCTTAAATAATTTCCTTTGAATGTTAATTCTTGAACAGGCCTTTGCCCAGATAGGAGCAGCATAAAGAATGATGGGCTCAATTACCCCAAGATAAATCATTTTGGCTGCTTTACTGCCAATTCCCCAAGTGTTTTTAGCAATACTGATAAGTACATTTGATACCTTAACTGCTTTTGCTACAACCATTTCTATATGACCTGTCCACTGCAGTTGTTGTTGTAGTTTAACTCCCAAATATATGATTTCAGAGACTAGATATCCGGACACCATCAATTTTAATGCAGGGGCTGCGTTGTAATGGGGTCTTTTTAGAAAATATTATATACAAACATTTTGAGTAATTTATGACAGTTTAACTTTCTTACTCCAATTTGAGATCTTTGTCAGCAATTTATTACAGAGTGTAGGAAGATTGTCACTATTCTTATCTGATACTAATACAACTGTGTCATCGGCGTAGCCCTGTAATAGATGATTTCCTTCAGAATTATTGAGAGTGGTGAGTAGGTCATTGTGGACAATGGTCCACAACGCAGGGCCAGAGATTGAGCCCTGAGGGCAACCCAATGTGGCTTGACGTGTATAACTGATATTGTTATTATAGAAGCCCACTTTCCTATCGGTCATGAAACTTTTAATTAAATAAAATAAGTTGCTAGGACAATTATGAATTTGGAGTTGCTGTAATATGGCGGGCCACCACAAACTGTCGAACGCTCCTCTAAAATCAATTGATACAAGAAGGGTGTGCCTGGCATTTCTTTTAGCTCTATTTAGGTAATCCATAATACGGTTAATTGCTGTTATTGTGGATTTGCCTGGAGTGAAGCCATGTTGGTCCTGGCTAAGGGCCTTTTTACTCCTGAGAAAAGTTAAGATTCTGTTAATCACTAATCTATCCATAATTTTTCCCAAAATAGGTAACAGGCTGATAGGCCTGAAGTCTTTGGCTGATTGAGAGGTTTCGGTTGGTCGTTTTCTTATAAACTTAATTGATCCGACTTTCCAACTTTTCGGAAAGTATCCCAAGTCAAGACAGCGATTATACAATGTGACAAAAGACATGGGAATTGCTAAGAAGGCCTCTTTGACCATTCTCCCCGTTACACGGTCTATTCCTGTAGCTTTTTTATTATTGATTAGCTTGATTGCGTGGTTGACTTCGTTCACTAAGAATATTCTATCGTTACTTTGATTCGTTGGGTAGTTACAGTTGTTACGGGTGTCTCTTTGGGATTCGTTGTCATGATCAGGATTATCGGTTGGGAAGTGATAGTCAAAAAGTTCCCTGAGTGTCCAATCCAGAGAATTGGTATAAGTCCCTTCGGAAGTCTTGAGTGTAGAGGGGTTAACTCTCCCAGATTTTTAATGTGTGGCTCATCAACTTTATGCCTCTGTAACTTGAGCAATCCTGAATGTTCCTTTTGTTCTTGTATACTAGTATAAGATAGCTTTTTCTTTATTCCTCTGTCATAGTTCCCAGATTCAAAATTTTATATTAAATAATCCAGTTAGCCTTCATAGCCTCTCTTGCCCAATGCCTTTCATGTCTCCACCGCTATTCCATCGGTATTCTATCTGGACCCACAGCTTTCCATTTTCCATTTTACTCAGGATGATTTTGACCGCTTGATGACCACTTATTACTTCAATTCCGTCTTCCTTTTTGCCCATTTCCAGATCCATTTCAATCATAGACTGGAAGTTCAGTAGACCATATAAGTATTGCTTCCAACGCTGTCTAATGTCTCTCCCATCAGTTAGCTCTATCCTTTACACAGCATATCTATCCAAGATCCTTTGTGTTATTTTGTCCAACCTTTACACAGCATATCTATCCAAGATCCTTTTTATACCACCTTCTCATCCCCTCTTGTCTCTAATTCTCTACGCGGCACGGACGAGCCGCTGGATCGTTCACGATAATCTCATGACGTTGCCTGACCGTTGCGCGCTGGGATATACACTCTTAGGCTGTGTACACCTTAGGTGTTTTGAAACGCGTGCTTTGGTAACGCGCGTTTTAAAGAACCAAGAGTTCCGCATAAATATACACACTCAAACGCGCGCTTCTGGCCAACCGCGCGTTGATAGATTTTGGTTAGAACGCGGGTTTTGCGGACGTCAGCCGCGCGCTTTGAGATACATGTGCCTCCATGTTTCTGTACATTCGATCGCGCGCTTTCGGGTAGAGTGGACGCTCGTTGGCCAAAATGGAGAACGATCATTTCGATACTGATCTATTTATTGATGAAATCCAAAAGCGACCAGTCATCGTCAAATGATTTTATAGACATTCTAAAATAATTAAAAAACTTAGGTTCATATTGTCTTAGTTTTGGATACAACGTCATAAACATTCCATGCGTCAGTCTATCTCGTAATATTGGGTGCACCCAAAATTCTCTTCGCCTCTGCCATCGTCTTTTATAGCGACGATAGAGGAGCCATACACAAGCAATTACTTTCACGTCCATTTCCAAACTGAGCCAGTTCGAATGGCCGTCGAACGCCGTGTTAAACGCGCGGTGTGTACGCTGCTAACGCGCGTTTAAAGCAACGCCCAACGCCTAATGTGTTCACAGCCTAAGCCTGTGGTCGTAAGACGAGCGTGAAAAACGAAGGACGTGTTAACATTGTTTCCAGGAAGTGCCGAGTCGGTGTGGTTCCTGCCGAAGGGTGTAAGGTACGGTATCCGCATATTCTGAAAAATGGACATAGATATTAGTAAAACGATGGTACAAATTATCGAGGGCCAGAATTGTTCTTTCTCTCTCAACATCCCCATTTAGGTCTCCGTCAATTATTACCTTTTCACATTCTGATATTCCCTGTAATAGGTCATCTAGACAATTCCAGAACTCTTTCTTCTCTTCCTCTCCTACTCATGCTTGAGGAGCATACACACTGAGAAAGTTCTAAACTGTCTTTCTAAGGATCATCTTGATCATCCTAATTCTGTCATTTATTCTTTTTACTTCTACTACTTTCTACTTCAGCTCTTTACAGACCACAATACTAACTCATTTTCTTCCATTTCTCATCCCAGAATATCACAACTTGTAGCCACAACCAATTTCTCTAGCCTTTCATCCTTTCCATTTTCTCTTGTAAGCAAGCCATACCGACCCTCCTTTACTTTAGAACATCTGCCAATTCTCTGCTCTTTCCTGTCAGTGTCAATTATTTATTTATTCAATAGTAAAAAAGTTTCTTCTAATTGTGAATATATATTTACAATTATAATCTATTACGCTATATATATAATTACGTTTTAAATACTGTTAATAAACTGTTTTAAATGTTTACAGCAATCAACCGAGAGCAGTGGTTTAGCGTTGAAAAATTTACTCAGATCGAATAAAATACACTATGATAAACTTAGTAATGATTTTGTAGTAGGAATGATGAAAGAAAAAACTGCTTTCATATTTTTTGAATCTCTCATACAACTTGCTCTGAGATTTCATGGAATTGAAAATTTTTTTCTGTCTATCGACGAATTATATTTTGCAAACATTGGATTTGGTTTCCGTAAGACATTTCCGTATACAAAAGTCATCGATAACACGTAAGTACTTTATAGAAATGTTTGATAAAATATTTCATTTTATATTTGTTTTCAATACGTAATGTATTTAATTAATTTTAAAATTTCACAATTATTTGACATTGGAATTGTAAGGAAATTCGTAACTGATAGAGACAACGAGATCAGAAGATATCAACTTTTACTTGAAGAAAATTCAGAAACTGATCAAGCTCTGAATATGAATGACTTACCTGGCCCGTTTTTAATTCTAGGAATTGGGCTAATTTTATCGTTAATAGCTTTTTTCTTTGAGCGCTTCATTGGTATACTACATCGAAATTGTTTTTATTAATAGAAATATTTCTGAGGTTCAATTTTTCCTGACTTAAATTAACTTGTTTAAACTTTTTGCGATGCTCATTAATATAATTTATAAATAATCTGATGATAATAAGATTAATTTGGAGCTGTAAATTAAAATAAGCACGTGTGACAATAGTCGAACATTAACAATTGCTTTATCCTTCTGCATTCAAGTCAAAGAAAGAGAACTTCGTCTTCTTCTTACTGTTTCATATGGAGTTTTAGCCTTTTCGGCTCTTTCTCCGATCAGCAAGAAAGAGAACAAATCGCTTTCTTTCCTTTCTTTAATATGAATGGAATCAATTTACACTCACTGCCAAAAGTTAAGCACGGAGCGATAAACTGCAAAAAAATCGACAAGTACAGCTGTGATTGACACGAAATGCAGCAGGACAGTAGCAAATATGTTTATGCATGAAACAACACAAAGAATTACATAGAAAAATGAAAACAATATTGAATTTTCATAAAGTATAAGATGAAATCATATTGGAATCATTAACAAAATGATGTTTAAATCCAAAACAAACAAACAAACCCGACATTACTAGGGTAAATGGTCACCCCTTATCCTTACACAAAGTTTACAGCATGTAACCATGCTTTCCATGAGGTGATCAACCACTCCAGAGTCAAATAAGTGCCATTCCTCCTGTAGAGCAGTTTGCAACTCTGTGAGAGTGACAGGGGGGGGAAACGTGCACACACAGCATGGCCGAGGGCATCCCAAAGATTCTCAATGGGATTGAGGTCTGGCAAATACGCCGGCCAATCCATACA